CATTGACAAATATTAAAGGAATAATAAAATATTTCACTAGAGTATTTTCCATGGAGTTCTCTAAGCCTTAGGATGTCATTGTGATGTTTTATTATTGTCCCATTTATTATGCAAACTTTGTTTTATTTGATAACTACCCCATTTTATTATATGCAAAGTAGCTTTAAACATCTCAGTATAAATATTGTAAAATGTGGATTCTTGTTTAATAATTAAGTACTAGACCTATATTTTGAACACTGGAATGAGACATAATTCACATTTTTTAAAATGAAACTATTACCAAACCAGATTATGAGAACATGAAGACCATTTGCAATTTTATCAGAGCTAAACAGGAACAATTTGATTTTTGCTTACTGCTCTTCACAGAATGTTTTCCCTTCCTATAGGAAGTAAGAGTATGCGTTCTAGTATGAACTTACTGTCTGTTTTAATATTTCATATTTCTAGGGTGGACAATTTTTAATTTCCTGAACTTCTGTTTTTTATTCTGCTCATGTAGGCAACACGGAAGGAGATTGAGAAACGCCAGGTCCATCTGAAGAGCATCAGTGATTTAGGAGAGAATTTAAAGGCAGTGCTGAAAGGAAAGGAAAGTCTAGTAGAGGATAAACTCAGCCTCTTGAACAGTAACTGGAAAGCAGTAACTTCACGTGCTGAGGAATGGTTCAATCTGTTACTGGTAAGGAAAATGCATTTGCTCAAACAGAGGAAATGCTGGTGCCCAGTTGTAGGCGTTCAACCATACAGGAATGGTTTTTCTGGTACTGTATTGAATACATAGGTACACAGACAATCTGATTGTTGTTCAGTACATTTGAAGAATCTGACTGCTTACTGTGTCATGGCTCTGTGTGTACTCTTGATTGTTAGTGCTTCCCATTCCTGTCTACCTCAGCAGTTCCTGGATTGTTTTGTTTGGCTTTTTTTTCCTAATGAAAATGCAGTCCCTCCCCTAGACTACTTGAATATGAATCAAATTAATTAAATAGTCAAAGAAGTTGACTAAGTCACATAATAAGTCACATAACTGTATTTTCCTTTAAAATTCATTCTGTCATGAAGAGATGACAACTTGAACCTTTGAACACAGAAGAGTCTTAGCCATTGAGCTGCCAGAATGCTTTGAGAAATTTTGTATGCTGTTTCTGTTGCTGAGAGTATGGGAATGCAGTTTTAGCTTTCAGAGAAACTGAAGTGGTTCTCAAGGGTGTGTTAACCTTTATCATGACGTTTCAGAGATTGATGTGTTAGAACTCCACTAGAGTCTGTGTGGCTACATTATGAATGCTTCTGCGATGGTTATGCAGCATCACTATGGAGTTTCTTTGGTGGGTTGTTTCTGTTCTATCTGAAAAATTTAAGTATTTCATTGGGTATGATGTAGGTGCTCAGCTTCAACATAGAACCAATTATAAGAAACGTTTAATGGAGTTTATAGACTGGTGTAGTTATGTATTCCTCTTCTTTCTGTCTTTACTTTGGATTCTTTTGTTAATATTTACTGTAATCCATGATAAAAAGGTATAATAGAGGGAAGTAGTCTTTTACTGATTTTAAAACAGCATAAAATAAAAGTATATATCTGTGAGGGCCAGAAGACCTAGTAAAATCTTTGATGTGGTGGTATATGCATAGACCTCATTCTAATGAGCTTACCAAAAAAGACAAAATATTTTTAAATTGAGAGCAAAAAAAAGTTTTATCAAAATATCAACTAGAATAGATTTTTTGAAAGTAGAGAAGCTAGATGAAATGTAAATAAGAGTTTTAGATATAAAGCTCCCATTCTTGATTGTGACTTTGCAAGTGCATCCTTGTTACTGTCTGAGTTTCAATCAACTTAGTGGCTTTCCAAGATGAGTTCTGCACCTGATTCTTGGGCAACTCTTCTGTTCACCTTCAGTAGTTCCGGACATCAGCTTCCTGTTCCTCTCAGCTGCTTGGCTGAACTGCAGACACCGGCATCTTGCTGAGACTTTACACCCTACTGCCTGTCACTTTGGAAGCTTCTCTCTCTCCTAGAATGCCTTTTTTTAAAGAAACTTAACATGTAAAATGAAAGCAAACAAAAATAGAGTCTACCATTCACAAAATAGGTAGTTACTCTGTAAAATAAACAAGTTTAGTTTCATAATGTATGCATGTTTGCCATAGTTGGCATAATTATAAATATTATTTCAGTTCTGATTACTTCTTTTGTATGCAGTATTTACGTTTTCCACATACAGGAATATCAAAAGCACATGGAGGCTTTTGATCAGAATGTAGCTAGTGTCACAACTTGGATGTATCATGCTGAAATACTGTTGGATGAATCTGATAAACAAAAAACCCAGCAAAGAGAGGAAATTCTTAAGGTAAAAACAATGCAATTTTCTGGAAAGCATTAATTTTATTCTACAAAGGACTGTGTCAAAACTAGCATACCTTGAAAGGTATCACAGATTGATCAACATTCTTTTTTTCTGTGATAAAGCTACCCTTGGGCAGCTTGTTGATTACTTAATGTATTTGCCCTGCATTACAACAGTTAACACCCCGCAGACATAAACCCATATATGTTATTATAAGTCACAGAGACTTCCTGGTGAGTAGAACAGCAGCCTATTAAACCTGTGTTTGCTGGAAAATACTCCTTAAACACATTTGGTTGAACAAAACTATTTTTTTCTAGGTTCTTTATTTTTATTGTTTTTCTGTGATACTTTTCTGCTGTCTGTGGTGTCTGCATTTGATATCTCTGTCGTGTGATTGTTTTAATTCCATAAACACTGTTTGCATTGATGCCAGACCAATAACACAGACAAGAATATTATGGGCTAGAACATGTATTGTGGGCTAAGAGAGTTCGGGTTGTTCAGCCTAGAAAAGAGAAGGCTCTGGGAAGACCTCGTTGCAGCCTTCCTCTTGAAGGAAGCCTACAAGAAAGTTGGTGAGGGACTTTTTACAAGGGCTTGTAGTGATAGTGATTATGAGGGGTAATGGGTCCAAACTGGAAGAGGGTAGTTTTAAATAAGAAATTAGGGAGAAGTTTTTCACTATGAGGGTGGTGAGTCACTGGAATGGGTTGCTCAGGGGAGGTTGTAGATCCCCCAACACTGGACTCGTTCAAGACTAAGTTGGATGGGGCTTTGAGCAACCGGGTCTAGTGGCAGTGTCCCTGCCCATGGCAGAGGGATTGGAATTAGACAATCTTTAAGGTCCCTTCCAACTCAATCCATTCTGTTTCTATTTGGTGAACTAGCTGTGTAATAATGGGTTAGTTTATTAATTGAAAGGTTTTAGTTGGCCTATTGCATCATTCAAACAACAGATGAAAAATTAGCCAGGAAGATAGGTGTGATAGCTCTTTTAAAATACCTTCTTTGTTAAGATTAAACAACTTCAAATTATTATCTACATGGATTATTTTTTTTCTTCTGAAATCGCTGTAAAGTTTTACTTTCTACTGAACTCCATGGTCAGTACATACTATCTGAGGAACAGTTTCCAAATCAAAATCAGAATTGTATTGCTGACACTAACATAATGATACCATTTACTAAAGCAAAACTTTACAAATTCCAAGACAGAGCATAAATCAATCCCCCACTGATTTC